AAACTTAAAAAATATAAAAGAGGTGATGCTTTCAAATACAGGGTAAAAGTTAATTGCTTAGTAACTGTCGGTAAAGAATATCGCATCAGACACATTTATTGCCTCAAACAAATTGAATAAAAGTTATTGGTAGTTTCTTTATGTAGAATCGTAAAACAGTAGACGTCGAGTAATATAATGTCAAAAAGGGTTGCAAAAAAAGTTGAAATTTATTATAATTTTTAAATTTATTTGCTTAGGCTAAACTCCTAACATAAATTGATATATATTTTTATATAATTATTTAGCTTAAATTAAAATAATTTTATTATTCAGTAAAAAGCTTATTTAACTTTAAGTATACAAAACTGTAAATATAGTGTTACGTTAGTAGACTAAGACGGAAATTCAGTCTTGGGTCGTGAATCAAGAGCGAAGTGGTTCTCACCCGTCACTTCCGGCGAGCGAGCAAGAACTTCCGGTACAGATAACATACATATTGAGCTCCTTTATCCATAGATAATATAACACTCTGAATGTTCCGCTTAAATCTATGTAAAGTTTACAATTCAAGATATGTCTGCGACAAGACGAGCGATCCTTAAATGAGAAGTAACTGAGCTATGTTATAAGTGATCTAAGTGAATTAATAAATAATCACTTAGCTGAATGATTAGACGTGTAACCTTGTTTTGGGTTAAACGCGAGAGGTCCTAGGTTCGAATCACGTGAAGACAATAGATTGTGTCAGTCGGGCATGGCACAGACGTCTAATCAACTACTTGCCTGTGAGAAAAACCGATCCGTGAAACGGACACAGAAATGTGTTTGCCCCATGCCCCATATGGGAGAAACAATTTTTTAATTTTTTTTTAAATAGTTAGCAAGCTAAAGTAATTTAACTGATTATTTCACGTTTAAAACCGTTAAAGTGCTTTATTGAAATATGTTATGATTCTAAAATTATTATCAATGACAAATTTTTAATTTTCCATTTAACTTTTCTTTTACAGATTGTATATCCCTAACAGATGAATGTACACAGAGGAATATGAATAATCATATTAATATAAATTAAACATAAGTTTAACTCTTAGATTTTAAAGTGGACTACTAAGGATCTAGGGCAGGAGAGCAAGGTCTCAGTGTTATCCTTCAGTTATTCACTTACAACACGACTACACTCAATATGAACTGCACGCTCGCCAAGAATGCATAAAAGGATAAAATTTAAAAAACAAGTTACCATACCAGGACGAAAATGGACTGGAAATTTGAGAATAATATTTTTTTTTCACGATTGAGTGATTTCAAATTGAGAATTTTTTTTTCTCACAACAGACAAACAGGTTCAGTTGACGGTATGTGAAACACCTCAAACACATACCACCTAAGCAAGATGCGCTGACGGCCTTTTTTTGCTATGGGTAATCGGAAATGCAGACTTAAACCGAAACGCGATTAAACTTCGCGGCTTATTCATTTGTGGGCGGTGGTTTGTGACCCGGATGGAATTTCGATATTCCTACCACACATTGAATATCCAGATTTCCAAAAGAATCCAACATGCTTAAAAGAAATATTTAAAAAAAATGTTTTAAAACATGTTGGACCCGGTAGGAAGGGGTCGTGGCCACGGGTAGAGAAGGAGGATGTCTCTGACGTCAACGAAAAAACCGCTACGCTAGCGCAATCTGTTTCGTCGAAGTTTGGTATTTGGCGAAACAGGCCGGATCCTTGAAGACTTGACTCCCCGTGACCACGGCTGCTGCAAAGCATCCGAAACGTCGGGCCGAAGTTAAAAATCATTTTCAAATAAGTTTAACTAATATATCGCGTTTTAAACCGTTAAAGTGTTTTATTTAAATAATAATTGAAACAAGTTTAACTAAAATATATCGCGTTTTAAACCGTTTAAGTGTTTTATTTTAATGTGTACTACTCGCGTAAACTACAGACAGTATTTAAATACACCCAACTTATCCTAAAATATAAAACTTTAATAAGATTCATTCACCATTATATTAAAAGATTTGAATGTAAGACGTCTTTAAAATAAAATCGAATTAATTAGAAGGGCTCGTTAAGACATTCCTGTGATCTGACCCGTCGTACTGAGCTAACGAAAATTAACATTCCAACGAAGTGTACATTTTGACTAAGTGTTAGCGATTTCCCTTGCTTTTAAAAGTTAGTGTACTGTAATTTATTTACTACAGCTTTATTATTCATAAAACTTACCACAAAAACTACAAGAGATGAAAACTTACGTACTAAGTTATAAATAAAGGACGGTCTTATTGCTAGCAGCGATCTCTTCCAGGCAACCTGAAGTACAGGTGAAAAGAAATAATAATAAAAGGCTTATTAGGTAGGTAGGTGTAATGAATCAGTACGTAGAGGCACAGTAAAGGTACTTCGTAAAAGTATACACAGTAAGAGAAAAACTTATTTAAGAGTTGAAAACTAATTTAATAATCTATAAACTTTTTTTTATTTCTAGTCACCTTCTTTCTAATTTTGTCGGCCACCAAATATCGTATTAATAGCTTATTTAAATAATGAAAAAAATCGGTTTTCAAGAATAGACTATTAATTTTACACATATTAAATATTTATTCTAATATACACGAATGGAGCGTGTATATTAGAATTGTCTGTAGTTTACTCGAGCCGTTCGCGTTTACTCGCGTCATACATTTCCTGTTTTAAACCGTTAAAAGGGTTTTGCTTGAATCCTTGTATTGATTAAAAGACGTGAAACTAATGAACCTCATCCCTGTCTTATTTACGGCGAATACTGAACCTTAATTGATGTAATAGTAATAAATAACGCCACGGAGGCGGTCAAGATTGTCATATATAAATAACCCAACGCTATAAAAACTAACTTTAACCGCCTCTGCACCTAAATGCTTAAACGTGTTGTAGCATTGCATTAAGCGCGAGGGTCCTGACTTTGCATCCCCTGGCAAATAAATTGTTTCGGTCGGGCAGAGCACAGACGTCTGGCTAACTACTTGCCTGTAAAAGAACTTATCAGTAAACCAGAAATGTGTTCGCCTTATACCCCATGGGAGGAAACGGGATTTTACTTATTTTAATAAAAACTAAAGTATTTATCTGTTAGTCAATATATCTAACTGAATTGCATTCCTTTGTTGTTCGTGTTTCGCTTCATTAGCACTCTCTCGATGGTAATGAATTCTCTATAACAGGTGCAAGTGATTTAATCCGCTGCGAGGAATCTATTATACGACTAATTTAATAACGCCATGTTATATAACACGTATCAAAGGTATTAAATCCAATAAGGTATTTTTATACCTATTATTACGCATAAAATATTTAGATCGACTGAATTGTCAACGCTTAGCTTAAACCGCTGATAGTAAAGAACTATATGGTGGACTAACTAAACTAAAAATAATAGTTATTTTGGGCAACAAATTTTGTTTTTGCAAAACATCCTGTTCAATTCTATAAATATAAGCTGTTACCCACGACGTCTTCTGCGCCCCGTCGTGCTTGCACTATCACTTTTTGAACCGCTATCGCAGCGTACGCATCGGAAACTCAGAGATAATTAATTTTCCTCGTTTTTTTCCACACTTTCCTCTGTTTTTTCGCTCGTATTAGTCATAACGCAATGTTTTATAACCTTCCCACTACCTTACAACGATAAGTGGTCTAACCAACACATTTTTTCTTTCAATTCGAACCAGTAGTTACTTACTATATTAGCGTTCAAACAAACAAACTCTTCAGCTTTATATATTAGTATAGATATGCTCTTTATACGATGACTTAGAAATAAGAGATTATTTGAATTCCCCCTACCCTAAGGCGAGCTAAATTTGACAACGTTATTTCTTAGTCCATTATGCTTCAACTTTTGCATAAATATCTTTTAAAGTCAACTAACCATAGGTTGAGTATTTTAAAATAACATTTTTGACGGGGCCAATGGCCTTAAAGTAGTAATGTATGGTTAATGAGCATTGGGCTTGCCTTCGAGTCCAACCGGGTCAAAAATATTTCTAATCATATATTAAATGGATAGTTAATAGGCTTATAAAGATAAACGTGAAATTTAATCGCGTTTTGGTTTCAATCTGTGATCAAGTTCAAAGCCAAAATAGGCCGACAGCGTATCCTATATACATGTTATATGACTGAGGTATTTCACATTTAATCAAGTGACCCGACGCCCATCTGCCTACCACTACCATTAAAAATATAAATACCCTAACGGATTTAATAGAAATAGGACAAATGTCTCTTATTTATTTAACAACTGTATTATCCCCAGCACTTTATAATTTTATTGGTTTCATATAACAAAGAAAAATATATGTATGTATATTAGTGTATATATGTATGTATGTCAGTAAGTTTTAATATCGTACGCATCAACAACAGAAAAAAATCTTCAGGCGACAATGCAATAACTATCACAACATCGACAGGTAAAGTAAATATTCATCTATAGCATCATATATAATAAGTTTAGGTATATTATATATTAGAATGGAGGTCATATATATTTCAAGACACACAATATAATAACAAACCATTTTATATCAATTCAACGACTACACAAAACACGGAACATTTTAGCAACATTGATAAAAGGAAAGGTATTCAAAAGCTAAAATAAAACAATGTAAATGTTTACAGAGCAGATTTCAAAAGCTCGCTCGTCACATTTCAAAGCGAGTTCTGAATGCAATTAGATTTTTAAGTTTTATTTTAGCATTCTAAATATGAAAGCGTACATCTTACAAATTGGTAAGTGTCATTAATATACTATAACCTTGATATAGTAGACTATTTTGGTGACCCTACTGCAATCTATACCACCATGTCATTGTTTGTCACGAGAGTATCTTATTTATTTGTTCATTAGTGCATATAGATAAAACAGACGATGATAACGTAACAAATATGAAAATAACTAACCCGATTAAACCAAGTATAAAGCCTAAACAACAAAATATGACAATTATCATTTTTATATATTACGAACGAAGGCAAATTTGACCTGCAATAGGTCGTTCGTTTTTTAATAAATCAATCTTGTCATCTTGACAGTAAAGACTTCGTTGTAAGATGTAAACTTTGTAATTAGCATAGCAGGAGTAAAAGATACATACATGTCGCACGTACTGATCAAAGTTCCTCACCGCTGTACGACCAAGAAGCAGTGCATCCATCTCACTCTCCGGTACTGGAACTACAGCCACAGTTGGCGCACCACTTTTCACAGTCACATTCATGATTGTTCCTTGAAGTTACAATAGATAAAATCCAAATTCGTCTTTGTTATATATTTGCAATAACTTTGGTCTAAGTGTTGTCCCTTGGTAAACCACTTTTATGACATTGTTTTCATAAATCTAAACACCATACACTGTTCAATTACTATCATATACGCGCATTTCTTCAATTCTTAATACTGATTCAATTAGACGATTAATTTCCGTCCGTGTTTCAACAAACTCTTTTCTTGTCGTTCTGTTTGATTTATTTTTAGTTCATTGCTCTTTGGTTTACATTGTTGATTGCGTATTGCTTCATAAAAATCACGATCTACTAATTTACCTACGAAACACTACTACTTACACTGAATATTTACTAATTTGATATGGTTTCTTATTATTATAAGGTTTATTTTTGATGGGGAAATAGTTGATATAAAGTAATAATTGATATTGGTCCAGTCCTCACTTATCAATCGTTCAGATCACTTTCTTCTCTTCTCCAGTTGTTCCCTCTTCAGTCTTAACATTCGTCTTTTGTAAAGGTTAAATTAAAATTTGCCAGTTCACTATCAAAATATTGTTTTGGTCCGATTACATCTACTTTCAAGCTATCAACGCAACTATTATTTACTTGAAGTAGTCACGGTTCTTGGTTGACGCACTTATTCATAAATTATTATATAGGTAAAATCAGTTTTGGGGTAGGAATAAGGCAGACAGAATTACACTAAAATATTAATTTATTATTTGATAAATATGAGAGCAAAATAAAAAAAAACTAATATACAGGATTGAAAAGTTTGTATATGACGACATGATTTTCTTTAAAAAAAAACAAGTTATTAAAGTAATGTTTTTTTATCACTTTTTGCATAAAAATTATTTTCAAGTGAAAATAAAACATAATGTGCAACAGAGTGCAATTGTATTAAATAAGCATTCCAAAAAGCTTCGAAATCAAATATAATAAATTTAGGTAATTAGTGGTTAAATTTCTCCATTCTAATGTATCTAATGAATTTGAATATTTGGACGCGAGGAGTTTTGAAAGTTTAATCCACATCGCAGTGGGATTCTCACGATACGTGCTGAGGGTTTCGTCAAATTATTCTTTTGTAGACATTTCTCAGGGGATTCGTCCTGTTACTCCCGCGGGATGATTTAATGCGACACCGAGCGTGCTCTGAATAACTCCACTCGTTGGCATAGCAAAAGAAGGTAGTGAAGCTTAATGCATTGAAGAGAATATTGAGTAATCTAGTAGACAAGTGTGACAGAATATTTTTCTTATTTCACCAGATACATCACGCAAAACATACATTTAATATTTTTTTACTCTAAGACAGGCACAAGAAAGCTTATGAAGTGTGTAAATCTTGTAGGTACATTTTTAAATAAAACACTTTAACGGTTTAAAACGCGATATATACTAGTTAAACTTAAACATTATTATTATTATTCTGCTTTGCAGCAGCCGAAACGTCGCCACTACACGGTGAGTCGCCGGCGACCAATCGACAGTACGTAATAGCGCTAACAGTCGACTTTTGTTTTGTTCTAATAAAACTGGTCTTCGTTCAGTCTATTGCTGGACGCAATTGTAGACATTGTGTTAACATTGCCTTAAGGTGGTAGTGATAGATATTTTACGTAGTAAATAGTACTAAAAGAGTACCAAAAGATACCACAATTACTGTTTAGAAAAATATTATCCCGACTTTTCTATCTCGACCTAATTCCGTTAAAATATTGTCTACGCTATTATTTATTCAGTACAGCGTTGTCTCGCATATATTCAAGTTTCTACCAAAATAATGACATGTTATTACTCGAAAAAAAAAACTGTTAGTAAATACAACTTTTAAAAGAAAGGATAATGTAATTCATGTATGTACACGCTTTTGTAATATGTTATTTTATTAAAGGTACACTATTGTTATTTAAAATTGTATTTTTTTACAAAAACATTGTAAAAATCATTATGGTTTAAATTTACCCATTCAAGCAATGTGTAAATTGAAAAATCGTGTTTTATTTGGTTCAATTAGATTTTCCCGTCAGCTTAAATACATGTATTTGAGAAAAAAGTTTTAGAAATTTTACCATCCATACCATTTTACCATATTTATTCGTTTTTTTATCTGTACCTGTAATTTTAATTTTTACTTATTATGTTTATTTTTTATCTTTATTTAATCTATTTAGTTAACGTTTTGCATACATTTAAGTGAGATATATAACTAGTAAGAATTACGTATGTACTAAGCCTTGTATAAATAAATGAATTCACTTTCTAACAAGATTTGTAGTATAGTTTAAATCAATATATTGCTATAGCTATGTTAAAAATCTAATTGTTATTTTAAAACGTAACTAATGAAATGTCAATTCTAAACAAACCACATCCAAATATTATTTTAAACATTGAAAGCAGTTTGCTGCAACATGCTGTTGCGGTTATTCAAATAATGAATCCATTTGGGCTTTTAGTACAAATATATTTTTCATTTAATTTTCTAACAGTAGTAATAATATAATATAAGTAACATGCTAATGTATTAAACTCACGTTACACTTTCCTACTATTATATGGCCAATATATATAAACTAGCTATGTCAGCGACTTTGTCCGCGAATTTTGGGCATCCAAATTTGTTTTCGCAAACCTCCTCTTCTTCTTCATAAATTTATATTGCTATCTGACATCGACATCGGAAGCGTCCCGTCGCTCGCGTCCCGTCATTCGGAAAGGAATAATTCCTTTATACATATTTTATGGGTATCTTGAACAGAGACCCACAAGAAACACACAGAGATGAAACTTCATCCGTTTTTTTTCACATTTTACGCTGCTTCTTTGCTCCTATTAGTCATAGCGACAGTTTTATAGTCTATATAGCCTCAATAAATGTTCTAACTAACACAAAAATAATTTTTCAATTCGAACGAGTAGTTCTTGTAATCAGCGCATTCGAACAAACAAACTCTTCAGCTTTATATATTAGTATAGATTACACCATCTTTATATCTGTGACCTGATCACGTACGAGTTCTATTCTATCGTAAAGATAAGGTTCACCAATATTGCTACCTTTAAAATGACCAGCGAATGTCCAAGGCGACGACCCCACAATACTTACGCACTGTGCAAAAATTTAATAAATTATTATTCGGCAGGCAAATAACATTTAGTTTACATTTAAATTAAGTGAATATACTAATAATGTATATTAGTAAAAATACATCGCTAATAACTATGCTCTTGTTTTAATTGTAAATTCAAAGTGAGATGAGAGAGGTATTAAGTTTTAAAATTTTATATGCGTGTTTACCATTATTATTCGATACGAATACGATACGAAATTTAAAAAATAAAACACTTCTAACGTTATAAAATGCGAAATATGTTAGTTAACTTATGTACAATTTATTTTAATTTAGGCCCAATGTTTCGGTTGCTTTGCTGCAGCCGTGGTCACGACGGGCATCGAAATGTCCTGCCGTAGTTAAAATTATTTTTAAATAAAATGTATTAAGCATTATATTTCGCGATTTTAACAATTAAAATTGTTTTATTTAAATGTGTACTACCCGCGTAAACTACAATCAATATTTACGAATATGTTTATTAGTTTGTAATATTGAGACACAGTTAGTAAGTATTATTTATTCCCGCATACTGTGCTAACTTTGTATTAAAGCTAATCTAATAAGCTGTTTCGTACAACGCCCTAACGCCCTCCAGTTGCTACGCCAAATATTCAATTACTGCTCTTGGATCTTGAGTTAGCCGGATGTACTACTTCTATGAGTAAGTTCAAAAAATTGGGAAAATCGTTGGGAAAATAATAAGTATGGGGAACGAGTATGGAATTACATTTTACCCCATAGGGTACATATAACAAAGTGGAATAAACATCATACTCTTAATTATCATCGGCACCGGACTAGTAAGGAAATAATTAAAAAAAATACTTGCATCAGTCCCGGGGCGCGACATTTTAATTAATTTAAATTATAGTTATATGGTAGCATTTAGATTAAATATAAGGTTATATTGTAACGACCCGTGGCATAAATAAACCGCTGCACGGTTTCTATGCCCGGATTTTATGTAGTGAAACGGATTAAGCAACAAAAGTAAATAATTTAAAAAAAAACCTACTTATTTGAAATTAGTACAACTTGCTACAGAGAGTAGAAAGTTTCTAGGGCTCTTGCTTAGTGCGTTTAATTTGGAAATAGTACTCTCCACTAAAGAGGGCGGGAAATTGCAAAGTACTTACATTTGCAACCCCTTTTAAAAAATAATATACACACATATCAAAACAATATAATAACAGATAATTCTATACTTATTTGAAAAGATTTTTTATCTATTTTTTAATGATTTTGTTTAAAAGTCGCGGAAATTTTTATGGTTTCTATCAAAAAGATAATTAGTTTTAAAAAGCGACTCTACAAATACAAGTTATCTGTTTGAGGATAAGCATTGTCTACTGATTGATAATTGCATGTAACAACCAAAAGAAAAATCAAAAGACCAAATTTTGATAAGTTAAGTATATTATGTTAAAATATGACTCAGAATATTTGAAAGATATCATAAAATTTGCTTATTACAAAATTCATAGAAGTTCATTAGAAGAAATGTTTTAAGAAGATAAAACGTAGCTAATTACTGTCATCGAGTCAAAAGTTTATTTCTTGTTCTTGTCGCTTTTTAGGGCGATATTTTATGAAAGTACTGCCCTAATTGGTGTATTTTGCTTTTCAATACTTCATTTAATAGTTTCTAAACAAAACAACTTAAGAAGGTGTAAGGAATATGTTTTCAAGAAATTTTATTAGGCTGGCGTTTTTATAAGTAAAATTTTACAAAAATGTTTGTCCGTCTGTACCCTAATTGTAAGTTCATACAACAAACGGACTTGGTTTTAAATTCAATGAAAATAAGAGAACTGTTTAGAAGACCCCAGATGCAAATAAGCCCTAAAACTCTGACAAAGCCGTGG